GCAGGTCATCCGTCACTGGTCATTTGTTATCCTATTGATCCTTATTTACCACTTCAATAGCGCTGGCGAAATAGGATGAGAAAAAAAAAGGGAATTGCGTTTCTTCAGGGTAGGAGAGGTAAAGCAACTAGTTACTGTCAAAGTACTGTTAGAAAATATAATTTTTTTTTTTTGTTGATAGATGGTCTATTCTTCCCAAACCCAGAACTTTTGCTATGCTTGCCTGTTGGGATTTCCATTAATGAGATAGATCCACCTGTAAGCAGGGGTTAGTAGCTCTTTTAGGGAAACCCCACCCTTGGATGAGTACTATGGATGGGGCTAGCTTATTCCTTTAAAATCTGGGGCCTGAAGAACTTTAGGGCAGGGGTTCATGGGAAGAAGTAGCCTACAAAACATCATCCTGTAGTCGGAAAACCCATCCAAGGGAACCTACAATTGAGGGAACTGGAAGTGCTAATTGGCATCCTTGTGTAATAAACTTGTTCAGAGGGATCGGATGAAAGAAGGAAGTGGTGTATTTTTGTGTTGGGAAGAACTGTGCATTCTGTTCATGTCTACAGTAAAATGTCGAAGAAGCGGATTGTGTGGACAATCATTTATTGCGTGAGGAGGGCCTGAGCCCAGGAGCATGTGAGTAATCAAGATAGTAGAGCTCTCCAAACTGCAGGTGAATGGTAACCAGGGGCAGACTGACCATTTGGAAACTCGGGCACTGCCCGAGGGCCCGGGGTCAGTAGGGGGCCCCATGAGATGCCGCTGGTACCTTTTTCATAGGCTTTTTTGAGTTTGGGCAAGGACACAGGGGCCCCTTGATCCCCTATTGCCCGGGGGCCCCATGAGTTGTCAGTCCGCCCCTGATGGTAACTCATCTCATTCCTGATGCAGGAAGAGGACAGGAGGTGCCCTGGGCTAGTATGACCATTTCTGGTGGCAAATCAGGGGCCTGGTTACACACCTGTTGCACCCCACTACAAATCGGTCACTTGATCCCTGAAAGATAATTGGGAATATTTCTCTCAAGAAAGGTTTACTTTAAAAGGTTAAGTTAGTCTTCATACAAAAAATGTTTGCAGAAAAAATATGTGCATTTATTATTTTTTTCAAAGGAGACTGCAGAGCACTGCATCCACCTACGATTATGTATTGCTTTGCGTCGTTTAAGGTTGTTGTGGTAAACCCAAGGAATCTTAGGACTCTATAGTGTTTTAATATTTGCTTTACTAAATAGAAAAGCTTAACAAAATATACCTACAACATACACAAGCTGATTATCTTCCTAGCAAATAAGCAATTACAATGTATGTGATGGGCATAAACTAAACAGTTACTTAACTTGGATCTTTCTTTATGATGGAGTCATCTTGTAGGATTCAGGATCTTCCAGACTTCTTCCTTCCCCAAAGGCCTGAGAAAAACTGTCTTTTGTTCCCCATCACATGGCTTTGAAGTCTTTCCCTTCCCCTATTTCCTGCTGCATCATATCCTGTAAGGAGTTTCACAAACTAGTCCAACAGGTTTGTTAGCATATCAATAGAGGCCTAGCTTCTAAATTAAAATCTAACAATTCACATATCTAAGCTATAAAAAAAAAAATCACCAACGTATCCATAGCAACACAGATTAGTTGATGATAGTAGATCAGTAAATCTTCATGACCTAAATTTCGGTGTAATATGTAACATGCTTCAAAAAGCTGACTTCCCATTTAAATGTCCAAGGACTTGGCAAGCCAGTCAGAATGTTCACAGCACCTAAGTGAGCTGTCAGAGGTTAATGATTATTATCTGGGATCGGGGATGTACAACCTTTTGACTTTTCTGGGCCACATTGGAAAAGGGGAATTTTTCTTGGGCCACACATAAAATACACTAACAATAAGGATAGCTGATGAGCAGAAAAAGTCAGGCAGATTAATTTGTTTAAGCGAAGAGGGCAACATAAAACTAGTGAGATATTTGACCCTGTTTTTGATAAACTAACGCATCAATTTCTGGTTTGGTGGTGGTAGTAGAAATTCGCAATTAATTTTCAAGGTGGTCATCAGATATATTGGTTCTAATTTTGTCCTCCGTGTGCTTCATCCTTGAAAATAGTTGCTTACAAATATAGGTGCTGCCGAAAACCAATGACATGAATAAAGGCATGATTGTGAAGAGTAGAGTATTTTCTTTGGGAAAAAAAGAGCATGTCCCCGAAGCGCATCAGCACGCCAACCTAACCACCAGTCGGACACTCTGCCATCACATTGAACCATCTCTGTGGCTTTACAGGCTTTTTTATGCACCTTATTTTGTATGTTTTCTGTTTTTAAAAAAATTTAATGTGCTAGGTGTTTGCACCACCTGTGTGCTTCTTTTCCTAATTTCTATGGGAAGATAAAACTTATAAAATTCCAGTAAAGGGACACTAGCAAATGTTTATTTGGCCACATGCATTTGCGAAGTGTAAATGCATGTTTTATAAAAACTTCCCCCCAAAAAATAACAGTTTTAAGTATGTTTATGATTTTGTATTGGGCCGCATTCATAGCTGCTGTGGGCCACAGGATGGACACACCTGAACTAGATGTATACAATGGTGCCATTCGTTTGGCACTTCAAACACATTGATTAATTTTTAAAGTAAGGTGGGCTGTGTGGACATTGCTATTGAGCTTTGGAAAAGAAATTGCTAAAGCAGAGGACCTGGGTGTTCAGATGTCAAAAGTTGTTCAGGCAGAGCCATTGCAGAGAAAGCTCTATCTCATTGTCAGTCACCCAAAAACCCCTTGTGACCAAAGCTGAGGCAATGGGCAATTGCCTCCTAATTAAACCCTAATTAAAGCAATTTCCTGATTTAATCCAGCCTAAATTGTGATGGGTCAGTCCACTAAAAAGTTATATTATAATTATAGGTTGCACCTGGTGGGCTTAGTACTGATTGCTCCAATAGCAAGAGCTCTCTGTAATCATTCCTAGTTCCGTTCCAGCCCTCCCCAGAGTTTTGGGTGTTCCTGCCTACCTTTTTTGTGTTACAGCTTCTCTTTTTATATTCTCCATAATAAAAAAGAATAAAATATCCAATAAGGTTGGTAGAAACCCCTAATAATGAACACAGCAGAAACTCAACGCAGAGACCTTACCAACCGAGTCATCAAGAGAAAAAAACAGGTGGCTTTTAGGTGGTTAACGCTCCATCAATCCACTGGTGAGGCTGGAGTAACCCTTTAAGAGCAACCTGTTTTAGCTTTTCAATATTGGTTTGCAGAATGTTAACTAAAGCAAAAGGTGGAACAGTTGTGCACTGAAACCAGTTTTTAATTATGGGGGTAAATGACCTGAGTAGTTTGACTCTGATGCTGTGGGATGTAGCTCTATTTTTCCCCCAGTTGCCATTAATAAGTGCCCCTGTCGCTTTTGCCGACATGTCTGCCTATATTTATGTATCAGCTTGTGCTCTATCTATATGTTTTTTCGCTGTCGCCATTGTGTCTGTCTCCATATTCCTGTCATACTGTGTACAATATTATTCATTTATTATCAGTGCCCTATATTACTTTGGCTGCTGCAAAGTCATTTATCACACTCTAGCAAAAGTTCCTGGACAGTCAGGATAGAAAAGGAAGCATACATTTAGTAATAAATAATATTGTATACCTATACAGGAACTCCATGCAAATATTTTTAAAGATCCATGCTAAATAAAACTAAATCACAAAAGGCAGCTCAAATAATACTTGTGTCTATATTTATAATGTATATAAAAATGCTTACTAAAGCCCCTGTATCGCTTTGCACCAATAAAAGCTTACACTGCAATGTTTATGGGCTTCTGGCTGCGTCAGCGCTGATAACGCCCAAAACGTGTCTCTCTCTGGTGTTATCTTTGATATTCACAGTAGTTTGCTACAGTTGCCACTAGTTTTGTCTTATACCATCAGAAAAGCTTAAAAATGTTAATAAGCTCCAAATATTTTGCATGTTCTCCCTGTGCCTGTGTGGGTTTCTTCGAGTACTCTGGTTTCCTCCCATACTACAAAGACATGCTGGTAGGTTAAGTGGAAAGTAGACAGAGATGCAACTCCTCCTGTGCTTAGGGACCCAGATCAGTAGAGGGCCGATGGACCAATAATACTAGAGTGTATGGAAGTTTGTCCAAGACCGATCAAAGGCTGTGCAGCTCCAACATGAAGCTGGGGAAACTCGATACAAACAGTAGCAGAGAACAAAAACAGAGCGCACCAACCTTTTGCATTACCTCAGTAAACAATTAGTTGATTTAGGAGATATACTCACAAAAGTAGTAATAAAAGAGGCATATATTATCCAAAAGCGAATCCTACGATAAGGAGACACGTGCGAATCTCCACTCTCAGAGTGAACTGATGCTTTTCAAAGGGGGGGGGGGGGTCCCTTCTTCATCGAGCTCTGATGAAGAAGGGCCCCCCCTTCGAAATGCGTCAGCGTCACTCTGAGAATCTCCCCTTCTGATGGGATTCGCACATGTCTCCTTATTGTAGGATTCCATTTTGGATTATATATGCCTGTTTTATTACTACTTTTGTGAGTATATCTCCTAAATCAATAAGTCAACTGTTTACTGAGGTAATGCGCAAGGTAGGTGCGCTCTGTTTTTGTTCTCTACTACGGCAGGTTAATTGGCTCCTGTCTAAATCGGCCCTGATATGTGTATGTATAAATGTAAATTGGGGACATTAGATTGTATGCCCCTTGATGGCTAGGGACCGATGTGAATGTACAATATATATGTAAAGAGCTGCATAAATTGACTGCGCTTTATAAGTATCTGTAATAAATAAATAAATATAGAGCCATTGACAAGCTTAGCTTTTTTTAACACCCATAAGTATGAGCCCTAAGTGTATTTTGAGGTACTACTATCATAATTACTCGATATCTCTCCCTATATTAATTTCTGTAATACCCTACAAAACAGCCATTGGGCTGACGTGGACATGTCAACACTTTGAACAAATCAGGCTGTATAACATTGCACAGTGCTTTCATCTTACATGTGTGGGGAGGTGCGGCAGTAGCAGGGGTGAACTGACAACTCATGGGGCCCCCAGGCAATAGGGGATCATGGGGCCCCTGTGCCCTTGACCAAACTCAAAATAGCCTATGAAAAAGGTACCAGGGGAATCTCATGGTGCCCCCTACTGCCCCCTGGCCCTCGGGCAGTGCCCGAGTTTCCAAATGGTCAGTCCGCCCCTCGGCGGTAGTGAACTCAACACAGATCTCGCACCAACAGAGTCACAAAGAGAACAGCTGTTAGGTGGTTTAACACTCCACCAATCCATTGTTAAGGTTGGAGTAACCCTTTAAGAGCAACCTGTTTTAGCTTTTCAATATTGGTTTGCAGAATGTGAACTAAATCAAAAGGTGGAACAGTTGTGCACTGAAGTTTTTAATTATGGGGGTAAATGACCTGAGTAGTTTGACTCTGATGCTGTGGGACGTAGCTCTATTTTTCCCCCAGTTGCCATTAATAAGTGCCCCTGTCGCTTTTGCTGACATGTCTGCCTATATTTATGTACCAGCTTGTGCTCTGCTATGTTTTTCACTGTTGCCATTGCGTCTGTCTCCATATTCCTGTCATACTGTGTACAATATTCTCCATTTATTACCAGTGCCCTATATTACTATGGCTGCTGCATAGTCAGTGGACATCTCAGCACTTTGAACAAATCAGGCTGTATAACATTGCACAGCGCTTTCATCTTACATGTGTAGGAAGGTGCGGCGATAGCAAACACACAATGGGGTTGATTTACTAAAGGCAAAAAGACTGCACTTTGCAAAGTTGCTCCAGAGCTTAGTAAATGAGCAGAAGCTCTGCTGATTTCCATCATCCAATCATGTGCAAGCAAAAATGCTGTTTTTTTTAAATTTTCCTTGCATGTGATTGGGTATTCTTTGCAAAGTGAAGCTTTGCCTCATTTACTAAGCCCTGGAGCAACTGCACTTGCTGAGTGCAACTGCACTTTGCAAAGTGCACAGTCTATTTGCCTTTAATAAATTAACCCCATAGAATCCTGTTGCAGGAAAACTTCACACTTGTATTGAGCAGAATGCCAACGTACAGACATCCTAGTTGTAGAGCGCTGTTTAGGGAGACGACTCAAAGTTCAATGCAGTCAAAGATGTGGCTGAGAAGAGGAGCCCACAGATCTGTACTAAAGGTTGGAGTGCGGCCTGGCCAGTCTGGTCCCAAACAGGGAGGCTTCTTTCCAGTCCCCAGCCTGTCAGGAACCTTTCACTGCTGTTAATCGTTTTCCCTAACAAGCAGGGTCGCTCTTCCTACACTAGCCACTCGCATGAAGCGTGCCAAAAAACAGGGGCAGGGACTTATGTAGACCCCGCTGACCCAAGATGGCTGCCAAGGGTTACATGGCTGCAGTGTAGCCAACTGGAACACTTCTCCATTGACCCAGCAAACCATAGCAAAACAGTGTTTCCCCTTGATTTCCTTTTCAGACTGTGGTAACACTCAGATCGAGTGCCACCTAGAGTGAAGAAAACAGACTACACCTGCTTACGCATGTTTTGGGAACAGAAGCTGCAGGGGAAGGTGATTTGGTGGGTGAATGAAGGACCTTACCAGTGGGGTGATGCACAGTCGTAGCCCTGTGAATATGATGAAGTAGCAAAATATGTTGCAGGGTATGAATGGTGGTGTCACAGCTAACTATAAAGTATACTAGGGCTGTACAAAAGAATGTTAAAAGGGGGAAAAAACATTAGTGCTAAAGAGTATTGGCTTCCACAGTGAACAGGTTAGATGTCCAGAGGATCCCTTCTATCAATGAATTGATTCTCCTTCTGGATCTGAAATCAATTTTGTTTAGGGCTTCAGAATAACCCAGGTCAAATCCTAGTATGGAAAAATCTGTCCACGTTACTGTAGATCATAACTACAGTTAAGGCAAAACCTTCTACTTTCCACTCATTTTGAAAGATTTCCAGCAAAAATAATAGCTTTTCTCTGTATATAGGGAACAGAAGCAGCTGAGAGCATGTTATATCTCAGGCTTAGGGCTCATGTACACTGCAGCTGATAAACGGATGTTCAGGAGCTTTTCTGCATTTTTTTCAGCAGCCCCTGAACTCTCCCTAATGTCTTCCTATGTGTCCATGTACACATCGTCGTTTACAGGCAGTTGAGTTTACAGTCTTTTTTTGAACGCACCAGACGTTCAGGAGTAGATTTTACCAGCGTTTCAAATGCTTGTAAACACTTGTAAACGTGGTTAACCACATTTATAAGCATTTGCGTTTAGAAGCATTTTTTAACTGTTCCAGATGCTGTTCAGAGCCTTTTTGTCATCATCAGAAATGCACGCAAAGCATTTTCCATGTGTTCAAATGGACCCAGTACACCAGCACAGTCAGTTGCAGGTTGCGCGTGAAGGAAAAAATGGTAGAACGCGCCGCATTATGCTCATGATGGGATCCATAGTGAATAAAACCAGAAAAGACAGGTCATCTCAACACATACTGCTCTCTCTGCTTCTGCTCTCTCTATTTATCTCAAAATGTTTTAAATAGTTAATTATTTACTATTTTTCAGTGCATTCTAGGCATTTGGGAAGGTCTCCTGAGGTTATCTTGTAAAAACACGTATAAATGCGGTATGCAAACACGGCTAAACTGATGTTTTTTAACCTACGTTTTCCAGCAGTCAGTTTCCATCATTCAGAAGAGTTTTCCAAATGCCCCGTGTACATGAGCCCTTAGTTTCCCCATGGCATGGAACAGCTTGTAGTTCCAGATCAGCTGAAAAAAACCCTTTTGCACCCATTATATATTTCTACATATTCATTATATAGTACAACTCCCTCTTTCTTTGACGTGCGTGATGAATGTTCTGCCTCGGAGCGTTATCCATCAGCGTGTTACGCCATAGAAGTGGTGACGGCAGATTGGTCACACTGGGTGGTGGAGGAGATTGTACCAAGCAGCCATACTGTCTGTCCTTCATGTCACTTACCACAATGGTGGTGCTTCTATTGTTTGTGAGTTAAATTACCTTTTGAAGCAGCAGCATCCGTCGTTTGAACTGTCAAAGGTTCACTGTTATTGCAGAGAGACAATAAACCACTGTGTCGTCACTGATTTAAATCGGCTGCAATGTTTTATTATTAGTTCAGATGAAAGTGAAATCATGCTCAATTCACTAAGCTATAACACACGTGTTCTTTCCTGTGAGGGTATAATGTCAATAAGGGATGAAAATATTTTTTTCCTGGCAAATAATGATTGTTAATGTATCACTACAGACCACCTGTGTATGAATGGGTCCTTAGGGTTGTGTTACAGCCTGTAGACTGTTTTCAGTGCTTACTTTAGCAGAAAAACACTTACTGGAAAGGCTGTTAATGTTGTTGCAAATTCAAAAGGGGTATAGTAGTGTTGTCAGCCCTTGGACCAAAATGATGTAATCCTGTCAGCACTTGTAGAATCAACAGGTAAAAACCTGAAGAAGCAAGGGGATTTTCAAAATTCTATTTTACTAAATGAGAAAGTAAAAGACTGGTCTTTTGACCAATTTTTCTTGCCGTTACAGGTTAACCTCAGTGGCTATTATGTTCAACAAATAAATTGTTTGCTGCTTTATAAATGTCTCCTTTGAGAAAACTTGACGGACGGGTCTCTGGCTGTATTTGGTGTGGATCCTTTAAACTCATCACAGGAGGTCGAAGCTGCATAGAGAAAAGCCAGAGTCAACCAAGCGGGAAGAAAAGTGGCATCTATTATACATAGTGATCTAGAACAGGCTGCAGGCTCCTGTCACACGCACTTATCATACTAGAGCAACAGCAAGCACATTTCCTGCGCTATCAAACACGCTAACACGCATGGAAAGGGGGCAGTGTTTCTTGACTGGTCTCCACCTGAGATGTAACTACCATCTGTGTGTGTGTGTGTGCGCGCGCGTGCGCGTGTGTGTGTGTGTGTGTGTGTGTGTGTGTGTTGAATGTGTCGTGTGTTGTGTGCGCGTGTGTGTGTTGAATTTTCAAATTTTGAGGTGAAGACTGCAGTGTACTTGGTTTGACTTTCAGCAAGACTTACAGTATAGTTCATTCAATGATGGGCCACAAAGCCCCTTGGTTGAAACACTGGTCTGTGAATGGAGCAGGGGCTCTGTGTGATTCCACATTCAGGGAAAGTTCTCATTGCGAAAACCCTTTAAGAAGGGATCCAGAGCATAACTAGAGATAAGTCGGGTCTATTGCTACAAGCCTGCAGAAAGAGGCAAAGGTTCCAAAGATCATCTTGAAAAGTATTCAGTTCTCTTTCCTTAAGAACTCAAGATCTAAAAAGGAGCCCAGCGTACTTTCACCTTCTGGTAGTGAAAGATCATCAGCCATATCTCAGATTTGCCATAGGTCATTTGCATTGTCAATTTTGCTGCCTCCTGTTCACTTTTTGACCTTTTTGAAAGTTCTCCACTCAGTGAGGGCCCTCCAGATATGGATACATCACTGAACCAGCAAACACAAATGCTCCTGCGCTTGGGGATGGACTCGATGCAGGCTACAACCACATTAAGAATGTCCTGGAACATGCACACCTTGCTGCCCTCAAATAGACCAGGGGAATCCAAATATACTGAATGAGGAAAGAAAAAACAGAGGGCGCACAGGCCTAGTGCATTATCATAAAAAATGTTTAATAAAACATAAAGTAGGTGTTGTAGTCAAGGCACATCATAAACAGCTGGTTCAACCCTGCGCTGAGTAACAGTCCGCAATAGGGAGTGTAGGCATCCAATAGGCTGACACGTTTCGAGGACTTGCCTCTTCCTCAGAGCCAGCAACCATGGCTCTGAGGAAGAGGACTGTTAATCAGCGTGGTGTTGACCCAGCTGTTCTTTATGATGTGCCTTGACTATATTGTTGTTTGTGAGTACAACACCTACTTTATGTTTTATTAAATATTTTTTATGGTTATGCACTAGGCTTATGGATACATCACTGTCTGATGATTTTCTGGTGTATGCACTTTGCAAGTCTTTCCTGGTAGCCCACAAGCAGTTAGTTCTAGGCACCCTCTGCAGATATATCTGGCTAGTCAAAAGTCCGAAGGGTAAGCTCCATTCATCCAAGATCTCGGAATATCTCTGAAAAATATTACATTCATTACTAGGAAGGACTTTTATTCCACAAATAAGGATCGGACAGATTATTACAAGATCCAGAGCAATGATTTGTTCAGCCATTTATCTCGCATGGACA